GAATTAAACTAATTATTACTTTAGAAAATATTATCGTAGTTAAGTAATTGCTCGTAAAAACTATTAAATACTATGTTACCTTCCAATAAACGTTCGGAAAAATACGGAAAAACTCTGATTCCTTAGTTTTACTACAGAACTAAGGTCGCTCTATAAAATATATTATACTAATATCTCATTATTAGGTTAATATTAATTATCGGCCACGTTGGATTGTCCTACTACGAAGGAATGAAATGAATTATAATATGGTCAATAAAATTGAGTCGTGTTCTGGTCCATTCCACCGGCCACCTATATCACCGGATTTTAGTCCACTGGACTTTTACGTTTAATGACATCTAATAGACACATTTTATTCTACTCCGGTTTTAACAAAAGATTATTTCGTTTTGCGAATTCAGCAAGCTCCAGCTCCGGTGCAATACTGTAGAGTTAAATTTTGATTCTTGTGGTATACCGTCGGTGGAATTTGTGATTTTCTCTTGCTACAGTTTCATTAATTGATTAATTTAATCAGCTATTTGTTACTTTTTACTTAAAAACGCTGAGTTCAGCAGAGCAATTTAAAGAAAACTGTTTCTTTTAAAACTGAAGAAAAAAAGTTAATTTTACCCTTTGAAAAAACAGTGATGTTTTCTTTAAAATCACCCATTGACGTGTTAGTACGGACACCATTGACAAAACAAAAAATTCAATTTTTATTGTAAAATATGCGTTGGCAATTATTGCCTGCAAAATTTGATTCAAATGTCCATAGCCGTTTGACATCATTAAAAAAATATACCAAACCTAAACACCTTGACGAAGCATTTCTCCAATATTATTTATAATACAAAACTATATTGGAACAAATATGATACAAAACCATATGGGAACGAAACAACCCTGATGTTTCCGCTCTGGAAACTGGACCACACTGTATAGATGAAGTAAACAAGTAGATATAGATTGCACTTATGCAAAGATGAAAGACTGAGGAAAAGAGGCAAGGCTGAAACATTGTTCTCGATTAGGAATCGAACCTACTGCCAGTGACTTTACATATTTAATTAATTACCATTAGGGTTCTTCCCTTCAGTTTCCCTCATGTCTTTCTCAGAAGCGCAGGTTACATTTTTTAACTTGTTGCACTCGTATTTCTTGTCAGCACCACAGATTCATTGAGACACTAAGACAAGCACTTCAAGCCACTCAACACATAAAGCTTGCCTTGAAATTGTGGCTCAAAAGCATGTTCCTGAGGCCGCATGGTAGCAAAGCTCTGAACCGATTGCACTTGCGTTTGGTTAAATTGGGAATAGGACTGTGCAAAGTCGGAAACGGAATATTTACAAAACGAGCTATTCTCGGACGGTTGAAGGGAATACATTTTGCTGGGATCTGGTTGGGGGTAGCTGGAGCTGTGAACTTTGGAACTAGTCACATAGTAGAGATTATCAAACTCCTGTTCGGCCTTTCGTAAAATTTGATCTTGCTGAATGTTTCCATGACCATTGCTTGGCATATTTGGAACTGTTTTGTTTGCATCTTGTTGTTTTTGCAGCTCGATATTCGGGCTTTTAGAAGGAGCGAGCTTCTCGACTACATCGGGCAGTGGCTCTCTAATTTGCTTGTATTGCATAGGAGGCATGATGGTTTGCTCGAAGCTCTTTATCAAGGACTTTACTGGTACTTTAACATAGTCTTCTTGCTCAGCTTCATCACTCATAATATCGTCGCTTTGCAACGTTTGCTTTGAAGCAGTATTAGTTGCCCCATTATGCAATTGCTGTTGACCATACGATTGAAGTGGTTGCGTAATTTGGGCATATTGTGCTCCAGATTTGCATTTGCCATTAAATATTTGGGTTTCTGGCTGAAATTGCTGATAAAATTGGGTTCCAGTCAATCCATATCCTGGGTTTTGACTAAACGAACCAACAGGATTAATAATTTCCTCATTAACAATCTGAAAGTCTACATCAACTTCCCTGTTGCGTTCATAAAACACTTTTTCAATTTCCTCATTGGCGCTGGGTTTAAAAATCTCCACTTCGGCCATTTCCTTTGATTTTACCGTGCTTTTCAAACTGGAATTTTCACAGGCATCTTCACTACATTCAATCTCGCTTTGCTCAAAGTAGCTTTTATTTGGCTCCTTGGATTCAACGATATTTTTCGATGTATTCTTATATCTGCGCTCCTGCATTGACTTCTTTCGACCAACCACGGCTTTTCGGAATTCGTCGTTGATGTTCAATTCTCCAAATAAGGGCCTTGCCCCTATGATCGCCCCCGGGGGTTTCTTGCAAATCTTCGGTTCGATGCCTAGACAAGCCTCCTCCTTTGGAGGCGATGATTTAACTTTACTTCTCTGGTTATTTGTGGATTCTATTATTGTGTTTTTACTCACTCCTGATTCATTCACTGACTTTGCTTCTGCGGCTTTGTCTTTGTTTAACTCCGTAGACTTGCTGTTTGAAGGCTCTTTGCATTCAATAAAGTTTTGTGGATTTTCGTTGTTGTTCACATCATACTTTTTGAAATCACTGCTGCTTTCAATGGCCTCTGGGCTTCCGCCATTAAGCACGTTATTTTCGTTTTGCGTCAAGTCCTTATATTCAATATCCATTCCTTGAATCCCCTTGATGGCGTAATGATCCAGATTATCATACGCGTTTTTTATGTACTTCAGCTCGGAAAAACAGCCTTGCTGGTAGACGATAGCCTCAGCCTTTTCCCTATCGTTTTCAATTGCCACTTTTCTGGCATGCTCCTCGAATTCCGGATTTTTAGGTTCCACTGTTACTTTCTCAATTATAATTCTTGCTGAGGGTTCCTGGCTCTTCGTTTCTTTAACTTCAGTATTCTTACTAGTTTCCACCGGAAAATTCTCCTCTGGCACAAATACGGCCATGGGGGATTTGGACCGAGCATTAAAGTGTCCCTGACTCTCGAACATCTCCGACTGTATGGTGCGAGATTCGGGTGTTGGTCCCCTAAACGAATGCTCACAAACCCTGTTTTCGTTGTTTGCTAATGCGAAATTGAATTCAGGAAGCAAACGTTTTGGAGCAGTATCACAAGGTGGGTTGCAATTCATTTCGTATGTTTTAGTGCTTAATGAAATTGGGGCATATTGCCTGGTTGCAATTGGTTTAAAGAGTGTAGAATCCGTCTTATCGGTTGCTAGATACTTGGAAATATCTGGAATAGTTGGAAACGGGACACTCTGCTGGGTAGTGTTGGAACCGGAGTCCATAAATTCTGGAGGTGGAGGAAGAAAATCTTCAACATCTGCACTGAAATTGTCGTCAATGCTTACTGAAGATTGAACTTTGAAAGGTATGGGGCTGGTCCTTAAAGCCACTATATCCATCTCTAATAATTCGGGGTTTAGAGTTATATCTGGTACAGTGGGAAATGGGGACGATGGCCTTAATGCGGATTCAATGCTTTTCTTTTCCTTGAAGCACTGCACGTCCGCTTCCAGGACTTCCGGTTCGACAACCACATCCGGAATAATAGGAAAAGGGGAGTGAGCTCGCTCCTCCCTTTTTCTAGCTAGTTCTTCTTCGGCTTCTTTTTTCAAATCGCGCTTGGGTTCTAAGAACGTTGGGGTTACGGACCGAATTATTTCAGATTTGGTTGCTTCGAGGCTCTCAAAGTTTTGGGAAACATCAGGAATATTAGGAAAATGGGATGTAGGGCGTGGTTCTTCTTTAGTGTCAGCAAAGATGTTATTTAAAGCTGCGTTAATGCTGCCTAGGAGCGAATATTCCAATTAGAAAAAGCAATGAGTTAATGTAACTGGGAACAAGCGTTTCTGATAACTTACTGTATTGTTGCTTCTTAGCGGGACCAGCGTTCCAGGCTTGTGGAAGTGCCGGTTTGTAAACATCGACGTTGGTGTTGCCTTTCTGCAAGTTTTCCACGATTCTGTTAATGCTTTGGCTGTTGTAGGCTGGATTATGAGCAAACGTCTTTTGCTCATTGTATCTGAAAAAAAAATACACTCATTTGATTGGCAGCTTCGTCATAATAATAATAGTTACCCATTGGATTTCGGGATAGCCCAGGAAGCCAGGTTGTCGGTTTTTAGAGCTTGCTCGTAAGAATTGACTGCAGGTGCCACAAAGTTTCCTTTGGTGGGCCAAACGGGTTCCACTTGAAAAGCTGCGTCTACTGATCCAGTTTCCAAAGCAGCGTCCCAAGGAGATTTGATCAGCTTGATACGAGGACGAGTAAACTTTTCCTACGTAAAATTGTTGCTTTCAAATCTATTTGAGATTTGTTTGTGCCAGCCTCACTTGAATTTCGTCCAATTTTTCCTTGTGAGCCAATCGCTGCTGGGTTTCAGGCAAGTAACTTGGCGGTGGGATATTTCCAGGCGGAGTAATTGGTATAATTGGTACAGGAGATGGAGATACGTCTGGGATGGTTGAGGACGGTCTGGTTCCGTTGGTTTCTGCAACGACCCACTTTTCCGATCGCTTGCGTCGTTTTGCAAATAATTCAGCACCTTGACATACAGAATTAAGTAAAGATTGATGTTTAATCAATCGACTAATTGCTATAGAAAACACCTTTTCCTTTTGGCGAATTTAATCCTTTTACAATTTCCAAGCAAACTTCTGGAGAGAGAGCGGTTTCAATAGTGTATCCTTGTTTTCTGAGTGAATTTATGTCCTGTATTTGGCCAGCCGGGTTCATAACAAGCTTGAGAGGGTCTTTTGGCTTTCCTGAGCCATCGTCGGTCTGAGCTGAACCGTTAAGGGTGCCTTTTCCTGCAAATATCACATGAAATACGCGCTTAATTCCCCATTCAGTATTTAAATTAAGAGAGTTATAATCATAGGAAAGTTACCAATTAAGTATAAAATAAAAAGTAAATTGTTAAACTTGCTACGCTGATTAACAAGATACCTAAATATGGGTGGCACATTTACATAGCTTTAAGAAGAGTTTTAGCTAGTTATTAGTCGATTATAAAATTGAAGGAAATGTCCATGGCATGAAACTGCTTAATTACTGTTAAGAAAAAATACAGTTTTCTTCACAATTAATTTATTAGATGTTCAAATACCCAACGCGTTTTGAGTGTATAAACAACTCATCATCAGGCGCGTTATATTGAGAGCTAAGAGCTGACTGCTCTTTTACAAGGGAACAGCAAAACCTAGCACTATTTTGTTCTATTTGAGGAAAAACGTTCAAAAAATATATTAACAAACTTGTTACTGTAAACAAGCAATCATTCAGACAAAACAAGGAAATACCGGAAATGCTCCAGCCCATTCGGCTGGTTCATATAGAATAAGGTTTTGATGTTCCCTTGTGAATAATAAGCGCCCTGAAGAGGGTAATCACGCCCTCGAGGACAAATACTTCATACACTCGAAACGCATTGGATTTTTGAATATCACATAGACTCTAATTATAAAATTATTTTTCAAACTTTAGTTTTGTTTTGTAATTTAATTATTATTAATAATGGCAAAGTGGTTTTGCCATTATTTCATAGAAGCTGAATAAAAGCAATTGAAAAAACATGGTTTGCAATTAATAAAAAATCTGCCCTGAATCACTCACGTCTTTTATTACAGACTGATAAACAGTGCTGTTATCTCGCAATAAGAACGAATTCTTTATCAAAATGTGATCAAGAACTATCACCTACTTTATTATCGCTATTATCCTGCGACACACTACAGCTCAAGCTGTAAGAGAAAATTGCAATTAGTAAAGAAATTGATTTAAAAAAAACGTTTTGTTAAATATTTTTTTTGTTAAAGTTTCACCACAACTTCCTATATTAAAAATTCTAAAAATTTTTTTTATTATCACACATAGGTAGATATAAATCCAAACATATATAAATATTTTTTGTTAAAGTTCCACCACAACTTCCAATATTAAAAATTCTAAACATTTTTTTTTATTATCACACATATAAATCCAACCCATATTCTGGTAAGTTTTATTTTGAATACAATGATAATTTTTATAAACGAAATTTTGGAATGGCTATGGGGTCGCCCCTTTCACCTTTAATCAGTAATTCATTTATGGAAGATTTTTATTTAACAAAACAAACTTTTTTTAAATTAATTTCTTTACCAATTGGAATTTTCTCTTCCATCTTGAGCCTAAGTATGTCGCAGGATAATAGCAATAAACTAGGTGATAGTTCTTGATCACATTTTTATAAAGAATTCGTTCTTATTGCGAGATAAGAGCACTGTTTATGAATCTGTAATAAAAGACGTGAGGAAATTCTGTCTTTGTTTAAGACAAAAATTTTGAGGCGAAATGTCCAACAAACAGTTTGTGAAAACGATACAAGTGTTGTATAAGTAAAAATGACAAAATTGAAGACCTTCCAAGGAGGAAATGTTTACGATTTGGACCATTTTTCGCCCCATAAAACGACTCAGAAAAATGTTTTCTCATCAGCAGTTTTCCCGTTTAACCAATGCGTTAGAAACTGCTCAACTCCCTCTTTAAATTAGTACTAGAATATTTTTAGCAATAAATTTTTGTTAAATCTGTAAAACGTGTAAACTATACATTGTAAGTGCCGTTTTGAAAGTTTCTCATTGAACCTTTCATTGGTTAGTTTTCCAAAAACACGTTAAATCCTTAAAAGTTGTAGAAAGCACGACAAGGAGATTTTCTTTATTGAATCCAATTTTTATAAACCTACTTATCTGCTTCATATTTTGAAAGTAGACTTTCGTAGAACGTTACAAGAACTAACCTGCCGTTCATAAAAATAATGGATTTATTCACCGAGTTCAAATTCCAGGCATGAACTTATTAAATTTAATTCTTCTTTCTAAGCCAAAAAGCATTTTTCCAGTTTAATTTCTAATGATTTAATATTTCAACGGCAAGCACAGACATGAATAAGTAATGAGTGGATAGATCAAGAACTGTTTTTTATTAATGCACATGAAAGATTTATTTACGTCTCCAGTAAAGCATTTCGGTTGTGTCCTCTACATAGTTTGCATTGTCAAATACCCGATATTCAATCAAGTGCCAGATCACTTAAAATAGTCATCGACATGCATAAAACTTTCCAGGAAGACGTTTAGACGTTATGCTACACTAGTTTATAAATGTAAAAATAAAGTTCGCATAGAGCTTTCTGGAACATATTTAAAGTCTTACACCAGCAGAACGTTTGCGCATTTCCGAAAATAATCAGTCAAAACCGCTTCCAGCATTAAAAAACAAAAAACAACTAATGATTTAAGTGCAAGGTTAGCACTGAAAACGCAAAGAAAAATAATGTAAAACAATACAGATTTGCAGTAAAAGTTTCAGGGCTTCAAACTTTGAAAATGCTAAACTGTTTTAAATATTTTTTTTTCCTTCTCTTAAATACAAATTTAATTTTAAAAAAATGCTGGAAATAATTCAAAAAAATGTAGAGTGGAAAAGTAATTAAAATTGACACCAACAACATAAAAACTCTAGTCATGTCACTAACCTTATGTTTGTTTCCTCGAACTAAAGAAGTGAAAACTAAAATTAGAATGAAAAAGATCAAGTAAAATATGCAATAATTAAGCAGTACAGATTAGCACTAGTGCTCTTTTGCTGGATCGTTTGTTAATACGGACAGCGACACTTTATCTAGATCTATTTTTGATAGAGTATTAGATGGAAGATTATGCCATTATACAGTGCTGGACTTAACAGCGGCAGTTTTAAAATTATGGACTGTTATTAGATAGCAACTGATAGAAAAGTCAAACGTTTGAAATTTTTTTGCAATAATGCGATTTGAAATAACCATCAAGGGGAGTTTTGACGAAAATCTTTAAACCTGCATGATTAGTTTTTTGTGAAGTACGCCTCTGCGTCCATAATCTGCGATGGCTCTTTGCCAATTACTCACATCAGATTTTTTATGTCCGCATTGAGTTAAACTAATTACTAGCTTAAAGTCTTTCGACGTTCATATTGCACTTCTAATGTACATGGCCTCATTGCGTTCGTGGTCTAGATCCCACATTTCTTCCAGTAAAAACTGCATTATTAAAAAGAAACATTTAATTTTTCATTAGCCCACGAGGGTATTGGCTGATTTAAATGCATAAACTAGGCAACCCATTGCGTTTTTCTTGGTGTTTTATTAGTCTTCCCACTGGAATTAGCCCATTGGCCAACTAATGACATGTATTTTAGTTTAATTTTATTGGCTCAGGTTATTAATAGCATCGATAAATGTCAGTCAATCGAATGTTATTAAAGTCTAACAGCTCTTGTTTTTGAAATTATTTTGGCTCCCACTAGTCACGGTATTAGATATTTGTCTTCGGACCGAAATAAATTGGCTGTACCATAACTGCTTCTAGTCCATGTGTTTCGCATAGCTTTTGATAGAGGAATGGGTAGTTTCTTCTAATGCTCGTGTATAAACTTATCAAAGGTATTGAGGTTTTACTTTAATGTGCTTTCTAAATTTTATTTTGGAATATATAGACTAAATTATATTCCGTTCTTATGAAACAGTTACATCTAAAGTACGACAAAGCTTGAAAACAAATTTTCTTTTGTATTTAGATTGTTTGGAGATTGTGCTGCGCTCATTTAATCGTTAACAAGGTTTATAGCAGCCACAAGCGAATCGTCGGATATACTTTACTGGCCTCTGCTATACTAGATAGACATAAGATTAAAAAACGATATCGAGGTTAAATTTAAGTATCTACTAGAAACAAAGGATACAAACAGAAAAATTTCCGATTGAGGGACTGTTTTGAGGTAAATGTAGGAAGCAAACATTTTACAACAACACTTTTTGCATGTATCTAGGGACTTTGAAACATGAATGTGAATAAAATGAAAATTCTTTAAGTAGTTTTTCTCTTTCGGTGCGTTTGATTTTGTTTTCAAGACATCCAATGTACGACTTAATATTTTTGTCTTACGATTTCTTTAGCTTTTCATGTAGGTATCTAGTTTAAGTTTGATTATTTTCCAGATATTATAAACCACAGTTCAACCAAATAATTTTTTAATGTTTTCCTTTAAAATGTCTTTATTCCTTTATAATCGCTTTAGTTTTATCACCCTTTATATTAAAGTTAATTTGAGATTATGCGTCTCTAGTCAATGTAAGGTTCTTCGACATTTAATAAAACCGTTAGAAAAAGCTCTTAATGTTTATTACAAAAATTATATTTTTGATGTTAACTGGTGATGGATTTATAAACTTCGTTTGAAAGCAACGGTCGTTTGGAAGAGAAATAACTCCAACAATTTTCAAAAGGACGATGATGAAATAATTATATTCTTGACTTCTCAAAATACGGCATCCGATTAGAAGAATTAAATACATAAAAACCAATTTTCCTCTACATTTCCTGCAGAGTTTAATTGCCTAATATTTTTTAATAAAATTTAACTTAATCCTTCAAACAACGTAATATTTTGCATCTTTCAAATTAGTTAATTTTAATAATCGGGTATTTTCCGCGGCAAATTATGAAATAAATTTCGAATCCTTCGTAGCTTTGTAAAAAGTTTAGAAATCCCTTTCCAGCTTCGAATTTGCATCAAAAGTCAATTAATTTTCTATCAAAAATCGAACAAAATAAGATATGTTATAGATAAAAAATATGTTTTTTTAGTTTTAACTGATTTTTTTTGCTTTACATTTTACTAAAACAACTGAAACACTCCATTTTGTAGAGTTTCACTTAAAAATACTGACAATCTGGAGGTCTCTTACGCGAAAAAATACAAGAAAAATTTATAGCTTTGCAAACATTTTACAAAATATTTTTTCGGCGTCCCGCATTCGGACAAAAGCGCAAATAAAATGCTCCCGTTTTTTCCCGAAAACCATTGAGGTTTTCTCCAAAACCGATCACAAAGCTAAAAGTTTTTAATCGGAAACGCAGAAAACCATTTTTTTTCTGATGATTTTCTTCTTTTCTGACAATAATGGGGCGTTTTCAGCCAAAAATTGCAAAACTATTTTTGCTAGAAAATTCTAGAAAAAGAAAGTTTATAATGCCCATTTCAGCTTCAAATTTCGCACAAAAACCAAATAGTTTTATTCAGTTTTTTAACGAAAGTAACTAGGATTATCTTGAAAAAACAACCATAGCAAAAGTTTACAAAAAAATATTTGTAAAATCGCCCTCATCGCTCTGAAAATTTGTAAAGTTATTTTAAATTTTCTATTGAGCAATTCTTTCGACGCAAAAACCGCATTATTTTTTAGTTTTAGTTAAAATACTTACAATCTTCAGGTATTTGCTGTGGAAAATTATTATATAAGTTTATCTCTCCTCCTTAACTGCTTTGCAGACATTTTTAGAAAACGTTTTGCAGCTTCGAATTATGGACAAAACTCTAATAATTATTTCTAGGTATTTTTCTAAAAATATTTCCTGAACTGAAAAAGTTTAAAATCATTTATTTAGAAAACTCTTGGAAACTGGGATTTCCTCACTTTTAGGTCAATATTCTAAACAACACTGTCTGTAAACAGAAAGACAGCGTTTTTATTAACGTTTTACCGTAAAATACTGGCAAACTAAATCTTTTATGCAAAAAAATTACGAGATAGATTTTACAAGAAAACTCGTAGAATTTCTTTGGACTTTGGAGTTCTGTTGCTGAGAAAATATAGATGACTTTTTTAGTTGTCTGAACAAAGCAGTAAAACGTTACTCAGAAAATCTTGAAAAAAAAGAAATGTTGATGACGTTTCTTTTAGATTTGAAAATTCCAGTCTCGGATCTCGTAAAGCTTTAATAAATGACTTATGACTCATTAACCGATGAGTTATAACTCGTTAACTCAGAGAGCGGCAACAACCTAATAGCGTTACCCAACACAGTGTCCCTAGGCCTACTTTAAGATATGGTGTCCAGTAAAATATAATTGAGCAACATTTATCTTCAAAATTATCTTGCCTATGATATTTTATTTACTGCTCCTGCTGATCCATTTAAACAAAAGCAGTTTTATGGGGACACTAATTTGATTTTTCCATTTCCATCCTCATTCGTTCTCGAGATTTAGAGAATCCTAAAAGCTTATTGAATGAACCGAGCCAAAGCTAATGAAATCAGTAACGCAATGTCGTAAATCCTGCACATATTCAACAGCTTAATAGCACGCACAACAAATGCACTCTTAAATTTTAATTTACAATGAACTCTTTAATCGATCAGTTAACCAACCATGAAATTACAGGTCGTAATAATTTGCTTTCGGATCAAACGCATTAAAAGTACTCATCCATTCACGATGAATAATGCAAAGTGCAAAATAAAATAATAATTTGATGTTTACAACAAAAAATAAAATGAAATAGAACAGTTTTAAACAACATTCTTGAGGAATATTTTTCAAACTGGAAATTTGAAATCCTTTAACAACATTACGAATGCTGAATAAATTATTATAGATTTAGATAGATATAGATTAGTTATTATAGATTCGCCCTATAATAACGACTTTAATTTTAAATTACAACTACCCAGGATTTATTTTTACCTTCTCCTTCATGAACCCATTTCACGGACCTCTTCTTCCTGTTAACGTACATCTGCAAACCTTTGCTGCTTTGGTTGCTGATATCAGTCAGTGAACTCGAAATTCTTTTCGCCAGCTCCACCTGATCCTCAACAGTGGGATGAAAACCCTTTTCGTAAAAAGCAGACGATGCAAACATCTTTCCTGTAAAATTTATACCCATTATATGTATATTTTCATGTCTTGCAAATTTAGCAAACAGTAGTACTAACGGAACAATTTCATTCGATTGAAATAAACAACGTTGTAATAATTTGGGCAAATATTTACAGGATTTAATAAAGAAAGAAAGTTTATTTTACTAGTATTGAACTTGGAAATAGTGGATATTTTCAAAGCTGGCATATTTCAAGTCGAATATCCAAGGTTAGTAAAATTGGTCAGTGAAAGAAATACATACTTCCACTTTATGTAGATGTGTATGTTTCAAATTTCAATGCCGTGATTTATTTTTGGGTTTTTGAGACCCTAGTTGAGCTTTTTTTTGTAGGCGCAGTGCCTGTTTCCAGAGTCACAAAGATTGACAAACTCGGTTCGAAATTTGCATTGTTACTTACTGTTAGTTTTAGGTTGTATTTGTTCTCCATCTGCGGGAGTAAAAATCTTTTCCAAGTTGACTGGCTTTGGAGGTGGAGCATTCTCATCCTGCATAAAAAGCTCATTTAATAAAAGTAAACTTAAACGTAAAACCTAAGGAATTTTAATATACATTAAGCTTGAAAATATATATTTGTCTATACGGTCTCGCTTTCTATATTTAACATACATATCTGTAATCGTAACTTGGTTTACACAAATGAAAACGGATTATCGTCATTCTCTGTTTTTGAGACTGATGTAATTTTTACTATTCTCTATTTTGCTTTCGATGATTCATCGCTCAATTGTATAAATAGTAGAGGCCTTAATGTCAAATGAACTAAATTTTATATCATGTAAAATTTGAGGGTTTATGATGGATGAAAATGAATGAGTGAAAAAATGAGAAAGTTTAAACTTAACAGAAACAGAGCAAAAGTTTATAGTTAGAGACGATGACAAATAAGATCTCTTTAGTTTTTCCAGCAGAATTTTGTAATTCTTTTAAATACTGGACTTTCCATACGTACCCACTGAGAGTGCAGATATAAACTTTCTTTGAATAAAGAAAACTGAATGTTAAGTGCACTTTATAAAACAGGAATTTAGAGCCATAAGAATTCGCTTTTACAGAGAAATAGAAAGCAACCCTAAAGCAGCTTTTTAAGCTATTGAACGAAGAGGAAATGGTTCAAATCACCATCCCTGTTAGATGGCAAAACCCATACGCAATTTAACAAAAATCATTAATGTATAAAGCCAAATAATTTACACCTTCTGTTTTGAAAACTATCAATCTCTTCAAGTTGCTTTAAATTTACTTCACACAAACGTATATATTAAATTATTGTTTACGATAATCGTTATACTTTTTTATCTAATAATATGCAAATGCTTTAAGTAGAATGAAGAAAATTCGATTGTTTACTCGACTTTAACTCATTATGAAAGCAGCATTTGTTATCAAGTAAACTAAAATCGGTGCGTCATAAGTTTTATCCCTCCTATCTCAGGCGTCTCCTTTTGTTCTATGAAGGTTGTTTGGTTTTTTACCTAAGGTTGCCTCAACTATGGGAGTCGCATTAACGGACAAAATGCAAATTTTATTTAATACAATATACAAAAAATAACAATCTGAATTTTCAGAAAAAAGCAGAAAAATGGACCCACCCAAATTATAGAGGTACTAGTCTGCTTCAAAGAGAGCGCCCATTCAAAGATATTCAGACAAATCCTGTGGCAACAGTGAAGAACAACAGGAGTTTCAACAAAACAGATCAACCATAGATGCAATGTTCATTTTAAGACAAATAGTGGAAAAAGCGATTGAATATAACAAAATTCCCTTTATGTGCTTGATCGATCTAAAGCAAGCCTTTGATAGGCTTAGACTTTGCGATGTTCTGTAATTATTAAAGGAGAGGAATTTGAATCCCAAAACAATTGATATAATTTAAAAAATGAACATCGGAAAGCAAACAATAAGCTTTCCAATAAGATACCATGGAGAGACCACGTCGACAGAATGGATGATAATTGACTACCCAAAATTGCAAATAAGGAGAAACCAACCAACCGTAGACCASCAGGAAGACACCCCCAAAACRAYGTAAAAAAMTATTGTCTTAAAATMAGAAGAAGAAGATGATAATGATGATGACGATGAACTTCAATTAGAGCAGCTGGTAGTTCTCGTATYAATTTAGAATCAAGAAACTCATATTTAAAATGCTATCGATCGCTTTAAGGTTTTCATTAATAAACCTTATGGCCAACAATAAACCTACTCTTAGGAACAAAAGTATAGAAACATATGATATGTTCTGACGACATGCTAATAAACATTTGTCTTAATCTTAAAAATGTATTTGATGTCAATTCAATGCTTGGAAGAGGTACTGAAAATATTCTATGGGACGTACTTTTTACAAGCGTTTATGCTTTTTTACTAGGTTAGACATTCAAACCTTCTATATATTCGAATTCAAGAAATATTAAAGTGACCATTGCAAAACCTCGTGAGGGACCAGACTCAGATCGTCAATTTTACGAATTATGAATTTGATGCATTATAAATATACATACAGAAATCAATTATTTATAATTTATTATTATGCACTTACTGTTAGAACAATCGTGTTTATGGGTGTATATAAATTAACTTAAAAGTTAAATACGATGATTATTGATCGCAGTAAAGAGTAAGTTTATATTTAAGTAAAAGTGCATATACTTAGTTAACAAAACTGTCACAAAATCAAAGTTTTAAATATAGCAAGTTTTCTGTACCACACATTAATTGAGTTTAATTTCCTGATATAGCTTGGAAACACTGTATATCTGTGATAAAACACTTAATATATAAATTACTGAATTCAATTTGCAAAAACTGTGAAAAGGAATTACCAAATCAAAAACTTAATATATTCCAGAGTAAACTGGAATTATTGGAGTATTTCAATATTATTGGTATTATTTATCAATAATTGTGAAGCTCTGAATATGTAAATGTTAGGCTCCTTTTAATTGCATTAAAAAATGCCGTTGTAATTACACAATAAATCGTCCAAATCCAAAGCTACTTTCAAAAGACTACAACTTAAAAAAATAAAAAATTGCTGCAGTGAATTATTTTTTTTTAAAACAATTGGCGCTTTGAATTATGTACGGTATGTATTTTCTATTATATTATCTGCCATTACATTTCACATAATGTTTGTATCATTTTATTTTCTGTTCTGATGTATGTATATAACATTTAATGTAAAAAATATTCCTCGTCGAAGTTAAGTCGAACTATTCAACTCAGATATATATATCTAAAATATCTATAAAATAAAAAATGTTTTGCATTAAATGTTATATACATACATCAGAACAGAAAATAAAATGAAACAAACATTATGTGAAATGTAATGGAAGATAATATAATAGAAAAGACATACCGTGCATAATTCAAAGAGCCAATTGTTAAAAAAATAAAATAAAACAAAGTTTAAAAAGATTTAATTTAATGTTTTAAGTTCGACTGAAAAAGTCCGCCTAACCAAATTTTGTCAGCGAACTTAGATACTCCTCTATAACTATTTAATGTACACGATTTAAAGTATTTGATAAGTTTATCCCACATACTAAACGTGAAAATATTACAATTGCTACCCCCAGTAAATAAAACGTAGAACTAAGACATGGGAATAACATATGCAACTATATGACTATTAAATCATTTATTCCAAGTTTTCACAAATTGAATCCTCAACCAGCCAATATGAATTCAAAATAGCAATTTAAAAAAATTTCTTCAATTTAAACAATAAAACTGAAGAATATGTGAATATTCCCATAAGTTTGTGAAGGTAAATTGCAGAATAAATAAAAAGATATTGCTTGAGATAAATCTGGTTGATGGACATCGCTTTCACATTAATATGCCTAATCAACCAATTAAAATGTCTTTCGCTATGACGTCTACTATTCATTTCACACGCGCTATCATGAGGGTCCTATTTGATGGACTACATTTAATTATAGACACCTGGCCGTGATGATGCACCTTTATTTTAATTCGCGCCTCAAAACACAAAGATTTTATTTATAAAACAATAACATACTTCAAAGTGCACATGCTTTTCTCTTTTTGTCTTCAGTTTGGCTGGTTCACTATAATTTTTGGAAATTTCCGATTCATTGATCACGTTTTTCGCACTTTTCTCGAACCACGTTTCACTCCTGGCGATTTTCCGCTCAGTAGTAAATTCTTCCTTCTTTCGCGTTATCGTGCATATTTCTCCACCCAAGAACATCGCTGACGTAGGTTACAAGGCCCGATTAGAAACTGGCACACATTCAAAATGTTCGCGAATTTTTTGGGAAATTCCGAATCGTCTACACTAGCGGTTTGATTGCCCGACTATAAACTATTCGCAAAAAATCGCGATTTTCGATCGCACAGCGCACTGAAAACCGTCCTGACACCAATACCCAGTTCCGTCCAGGAAATTTCCGGCGTACTTCACAATACTGGGAAAATCGTATTGAGAAAGAAAAGCTCAATTTTCATCTGAGACGCGCATTTACAGACCAGATAGATCGGCGGTTCGTCTATTAACATTCGGCCACTAATCGTCAGTTGTTGAGCCATGTGTTGCGCATTTTGTTTGTATTAATTTTTAGTTATGATGCAATGGACCAGTGTTTATTACGTTTTCCATACATTTTTACTTTTGCGAAAATAAATATAATTTAATTTATCGGCTTTCAAGCGTCCAGCAAAAGTTGGCGAAAAAGTCATGTATTTTTCGGAGACAACACTTTTTTTCAGTTTCGTTGGCGTGTCCCCTTTGGCGTGAAAAGTTATGTTCAAAGTGATAAAAAAATCTAGGTCAAGTATTATAATACATCTTGAGCAATTTTTCTCAAAGTTTGGCAGAAAATCGGCATTTCTCCAAGTACATATGGGGTGATCCTCAACTAATGCAACAAAATTTAGTAACGTATTGTTTAGGCAAAATATATGCCTATTTTCACTACCAAGATGTAATTTTCCGTTCAAAAATTCGGATCTTGCAAACCAAGGCACGTGGTAATAAAACTGTTTTTGTGTTTGCAGTAAACACTTGAATCTACAGGTGCAGAAAGTTTCATACAAATCGCCCGTAATCCTGACTTTTGTATGCTCTGTAAACATCGACCTTAAAATTGATCTTACCACTGAAAAAAATCGCATCTTCCAAAGTAAAGCTATTAGCGATTTGAAATTTTCGCCATATTGAGAGCAGGTGGGTCTTCAGACGCAAAGAGTTTAATAAAAATCACCTTTAATATTCATGTTGGCCAGAGTAGGAAGTATCGATCTCAAAATGGAATTTTTTGCTCAACTTAAACAAATGTTTTTAAAAAATTCACATCTCTCAAACTAACTCGAGTAGCAATTTGAAACCTTCACCATTTTTATACCAGACCAAACGCTATAGATGCTGAGGGTTTCGTTGAAATGGCTTAGAATCCTTATTCTTGCCAGCTTAGTAGGCCTGGGTAAGACTGTGTTGAGTTGTTTCCGCTCTCTG